AATTTGGAATACTCATTTTTTAAATATATTGCAGAAGCAAATGTAGGTATTTAGAATTATACTTAAAATATTCCTAAGGAAAATATGAACGTTTGGTTGCTCTAATTTTAGACATTATAGAAAATATCTGAGTACGCCACTGAGTTCTGGATTGTACCTTAGAGAGACTTGCTTCATGAATGCTCAAAGAAGAATTCTTGAATTTACGATAAATGTGTTGCAGCTGGTGGAAATCAGTTGAAGCATTTTTTTTAAGTTACTTACTTACGTCTCTATCGACCCGCCATATTTAAAGAGACGATCAAAAGAAATGATCCCCGGCTTTAACGAAAATAATTAAAAATATATATTCTTCTCGCTAGTTAATTAAATAACCAGTTATTTCCTTTGGGGGCTAAAACTTATAGCTTCTAATTAACGAAATGGACTAGTGTTAGCGGAAAGGGCCACAAATTGGTCCTAAAATAACTAGCAAATCGCATTAGAATTCACCCTGAGTTAAACCTACAATAATATAAAATTACCATCATTCTCGGTTGATTATTACGGCATGCTACTTCCTTAGACTCCTTTTAACAAATAGTATATAGCAAATTTGTATTAGGTGACTTTTACGAGAATTTCGACCACCTCATTTTTAATAGTATATTATGCAACAAGGGTGATAAACAACATTTGTTTAATGAGTTAAATAAACGTGTTGCATACTATACTTTTTCTACGACCTTTAGTTTTTCGGTATATTTTTGCAGAAACAACACAATACATTCACTGACATGACTGTCAGAATTGACAAACGTAAAAATTCAAACTGCCTGGTAAAATGTCCGAAGGGGCTCAGATCCGTGGAACAAGGAATTCACGTGGTAAAGTGATGCTGGAGTAGAATTTACTTTAAAGAATTTGAAATGTTTATAGTGTGTCTTATAACGAATGCCACCATTGTCAAGTAAGAGTGCTTTTTCAGTATAAAAATGTATTGCTAAAACTAAAAAAAAAATGAAAACTATCTGTAAAGCATAATAATAACAACAATAATAATAATAAAAATAATAAGCTCCTGAAAATAGAAAATATTGCATACATTGTATTTAAATCAGTCGTATTGCAGGTAATTAACATTTGGATTGGCCGAAATCGATATTCTAAATTCTAAGTACGCCTATTGTAGAAAAATAATTTATTTTACTCACCTTAAGTAACAGTTGTAATAACATTTGGTCAAAATGACAGCCTTATTTTCTTTCACGGTCTTCCGAAACACTTGCTACAATTAATTTATTCCACCCAAAAGTATTTTTGAAAAAATGTCAGATATTAGAATATAAATAAGATCTAAAAGTTCAGATTTTCACGAAATTATATATTTTGACATGACAATTGTTTCGTCTTTATCAAATGTAATATTTACAAACTACCTGTAAACTGTGTACTATGTAAACCGAAAGATGACCCTAAAACCTTAATTAATGTTGTTGTAAGAATTTAAGTTCAATAAAGGAGAGGTATGAGAATGTCTTATTTTGTCAATCTCCATGGCTTCCAATAAATTTAATTTTCTACTTTTTGGGGCTGTATATAAAATATTAAAATTGTATTCAAAAATGTGTTTCATTTTGGAAAATATCATACTACATCCTTTAAGTAAAAGTTTTATATGGTGGTATAGATACGTGGATGATGTCTTTGCTTGCTTTATTGGAAAGGACAGACCATTGAATTATTTTTTAAATTACATTAACTCATTTCATAATCGTATAAAATTCACTATCGAGATTAAACAGGATAACTCTATTAATTTTTTAAATTTAACTATTACGAAAGCGCAAAACAAATTAGATTTTTCAATATATCATAAACCTCACACGAACACAGTCATACATAACAGCTAAAATCCCCTTTATACACAAAAAATTTAACTCTTTTATACACAGACTTCTTAATATGCCACTCTCGACAGAAAATTACAACAAAGAACTTAATATCATTAAACAAATTGCACTGAACAAGGGCTACAATCCGGCCATTATAGATACAATTATAAATAGAAAACAAATACAGACAACAGAAAACTCTATTTATCCGAAACCTAATACAGAACACTAACAATTTAAAACAATTACTTACATACATACATAGGAGAACCTAGTAAAAAAGTTTCAAAACATTTTTCAAAGTGTGGTTTAAAAAGAGCTTTCAGAACTAACAACACAATAGGATTATTTTTAAAAAACAATAAAACGAAATGTCCAAAATCTCAAAGATCGGGTGTCTACAGGTTGAAATGCGGATCTAGTCCTAAAATTTATGTTGGACAAACAGGTAGATCCTTCAAGAAACGCATTAACGAACATAAAAGAGCGTTTAAAAACAATAGTATAGATTCTAATTATGCTACACACTTAAACACAGAAAAACACATTTTTGACGACAATTTTGATATTTTACATACAGCCACAAAAAATAGAAAACTAAATTTATTGGTAGCCATGGAGATTAACAAAATGAGATATTCAAATGTATTGCTTAACCATCAATTAGATTTAAATACCTCTGCTTTATTGAACTTAAATTCTCACAACTTTAATTAAGGTTTTATGGTCATTTTTCAGTTTATATATTAGCAGGTAGTTTGTAAATATTACATTTGATAAAGACACGGTGTTGTCCAAACAATTGTCATGTCAAAACATAAATTTCGTGAAAATCTGAACTTTTAGTTCTCATTTATTTTGATAAATGGATTTTCATCAAGTAAAACTCACTTCAGTTCAATGTCAGATATTAGCTTTTATACCACCAATTAAGAATTTTCAATAACATAAAAGTAATCATTTGTTCTGGGTAAGAATGTTGAAAGTGCGGAAAAAATTATGAAACTCTTAAAAAACATATAGCACCCCTAAGAGACGTAAAGATAAGCAAATTAGTTTATGTGTCTGACATAGAATTATTGTAGGGAAAAATGTAATAATCAATATTTTGATGTACAAATGTAACAATTCTTTCAATTTTACGGTTTTTTTACGGTTTAAGGTAGGGGAAGCTAATGCTTCGCCATAAGCTCTGAACAATTCAACAGAATGATTAGCGAAACGTCATGCATATAAGCAATTCTTCAACCAAAGAAAATTCCGAGCTTTCATAGAAATCTCTAAAGAACCAACCAATCTTAACCTCGACTCAGGTCGCCAATATGGAAATCAGTCGTCGGAGATAATGTCGCTTTTTTAGTTCCACCTCCCTTAAGCACTATGTAAGCAGGTATAGAGTAGAATGCAAACTAGTTTCAGTTAAGGTCTGAAGAAGCCCATAGGATGATTAGGAAAGGATCAACAAGTTCTATTGATCCACAACCGATGTAGGAGAAATGCAGAAGATTTGTAAATGTTATTTCAGTAGCCAATGGAAGTTTCTTTAAAAATGTTTATTCTTTATCTGTTCATATTTATTAACACTGCATTATGCTTTAAGCCGTTTCAGAAAACTATGTTATTTAAAATTTTAAAGAAATGAATCTTACCAATAAGTTTTTTATTGGTTCTCGCACAGAAGCAAATCAGCTTGTCATAACATAAACATTAACATGCTACTTATTTGATTATATACAGGGTGTTCCAACAGTGTGTCAAAGTAATATATGTCGTTTATTATTTGTTTTAGAGAAAAATGTTAAATACAAAAGCTATAAATGAGACTAGAAGACACAAATTAAAGTAATTTTAAAGATACAGGGTGATTCATAAATAAATGTGGAAAATCAAAGTTATATTGTTTTAAATGCAATTAATGGATACTCCATTAATTACTCCTATTAATGCTCTTTCAATTTTGTTAAGCATTCCCTATACCTAAACTTAGTTTTTGAGTCTTATACACTTTTACCAGCTAAACTCTAAAAATTTGTCAAAATATGAGAAAATATCGCAATAAGGCAATAAAAATAAAAATAAATAGGTGAATTTTGTGAAGAACATGTTTCCTTTCTTTCAATTAAATTGGAAATTCTGCCTTTCTTCCTATTACTATAGTCACCATTTTATGATGACATACCCTGAGGAAAAATGCTCTTTAAATATTTGGGGTGGTACAATAAGGAATAACTTCCTAAGGCCTCATTTTTTTAAAATACAGTGAATGGGCAAGTTAACTTTTTAGAGGTTGCAAAATATGTTAATAACTATTTCAAAGTTAGGCATACTTGAGCTCATGCATACAGTACCCATCAAGTTACGAAATACTTAAATAATATATTTCCTCAACGGTGGATAGGAAGAGGTGGTCCGAATAGATGAACACCAAGATCCTGATTTAACTATTTTCTGTGGGGATATGTTAAAGACCAGGTGTGCAAAACTGCTCCCACAACAAAATAGGACATGAAGGAGAGGATAAGAGAAGTTTTTTATGTCATGAAATGCTACCGGATACTGCCCAACCATTTACAGACCGTGTTAAAGCGTGTATGGAAGTCGGCGGGAGACATTTAAGTATTGTAGAAATCCAAGTATACAGACATCGCGTTGCTTTGAGTTGCAAACATGGTTTAGGTAGGTTTAAAAAATGAAATGTTTACATCAAAAGCTGTAATTATTGTTATTTAATGTTTCTTCAGTGACATCATCAACAGAGAAATTTGTATTGTATTTATATTTGAATCCGGTAAGCTTTCCTTGAATATTAACAACCCCGATGAATCCAAAAATGCACTGAATCGCGCCAATATCACATTTGTTAGGCAATACCAGCTTAAATTATGCAACTCAAAACTCATATAAGAACCACGCAGTCACCACCAATTTTACTTGCGAAATAGTTCAACATTTTTGTCCGCTAGACGTCTCATTGAATTGTAAAATCGCCCATACAGAGAACTGCAACGTTTCAGGTTTTCAATTCCGGATTAGAACGTTTCGACTGAGTAACTGTGGACGGTCAAAAGAGGGCGACACAGTATCAGATTTAAGAAATCGATATACACGTTTGTTTTAGCTCTGTCGGATAGAGGATGCTCTGAAACACGTGGATTACTTTAGATATTCTACAATAGAGGTCGCCAAAAACCATTTTTCTCGCATTTTTGAACAGCGTCTTTAAAAAAAAATCGACGGATACAGGGTATCCAGAAATTAGCCGGTCAAACTACAATAGCATATTGGACGTCAAAAGTGAGCCCTATTTATAAACATGTAGAGAAACGCTGTTCAACGGACTTCAAAATAGTTTCTATTAATATTTCAGAAACATGTTCAAAGAAAGTTTTGCTGTTTCGGCGTTTTATTAATTTTTGCCCTGCTGAATTCGGCTCTAAAATTATGAATCTCAAATGTCGGTCAGGTAAAACTGCAATAACTTTTTCGTCGATTTACCTTTAGACTGTTTTTTTATAGGAATCCGAAAAGGGATATTCTGTTACGATTGACATCAGTCGGATGGATTGTTCTCGAAGAATGAAAAGTAAACCTTCAAACAGAATTAATAAGAATGTTATTTTGACAACTGTGGTGTTTTTTGTTTAGATTATCTCTTTAGATGATTTCAGTACCAGTACTTTCGGCATGGTGTACGAAACTAATTTACAGTTTTGCTAACAACTGGACAAATAGAGGGGGGCCCATTAATCTGAATAGCTGGACCGTCTTACTTAAACCCGCTAGCTTATTATCTCTTAGGTAATCTGTGTAATTCTATTTATACCACAGAGTAGATAGTTCTAAGAGTTACTAAAGCGAATTAATGCTCCTGGAAATCACGAGAATTTTGTTTACTGTGATGGTTTAAAATTTGTTGGTGTGTACTGTGCTGTAGTGACGTGCGGAGCGCCCTCTATTGAAAATTATCGGGGACGACGTCGACAGAAATGCCTAGTAGCCTGTTTCTTTTTGGGGACGTTGAAGTTCAATTTTATTTATTTTGTTTTACTTTGCTCGGCTGTCGTTACGACCGGTCCATGCAATTTGTATTTGTTTTCCTTCCATCTATAGTTTTACAAAGTTTGTATTTGCTTTTCTGAACCTGGTGTGTTTCGGGTAGAAATACATCCACCATATTACGTTTGGTGACACCATCATCGGAGAAAAAATTCCCGAGTAAAGCGTAATTAGTGGTTGTGTTATCATCTTTTGTGATGTGAAGATTGTGAAAAATAAGACAGAAATAACACGTTATGATAAAATCAATTTTTATCGCACTTAAAGTGTAATGTGAAAGTCTGGATTTTGTAGAGGGCGCAGCGTTATTCAAAGCAGAACCTGTAATATTAACTGGATCTATTGCAGGAACCCATAATTTAAAGAAATAATTTTTGCATCAAAGACTATTATTAGGATAATTGTCATTTAATATTTCTCGAGTGAAATTTATCAACTTGTTTTGTGATTGGATTTGAAAGCCGTAAGCTCTTTGCTTGCAATTGCTAGATAATCGCTGACATATACAATTAAAACGACTTGGTTCAGAATAAAAATGATACAGCTAACAAAATTCAAAAGGCAATCTTGAAATACCAGTCTAATAAATAATGCTAAAACCAGTACTTTAAATGTCTCATCAGCACAAACAAAACAAAATTGAAGGTTAGGACCTGCTTTTTCTTGCTTACACGATCTTAAAAGTTGTATCCTTCGATGATTTTTCTTCCAATTACAGTATTTTTCTTTACATAAACTACTTAATGATCAATTGTAAAAGTTAATTTGTTTAATTGTGTTTTTTTCGTGTCTGTCGTAGAAAAAGTATAGTATGCAACACTCTTTATCTCACTCGTTTATTAAGCATTGACTCCGCTGCGCTCCGCTCGTGCCAAATAAACTCTTGAGTCAAATGCCTTCTACAGCGCTTGTTGCATAATATACTATTATTAAACACTAATTCCAGATTGTTATAAAATGTTAATAAAGATTTCTCATAAAAATTAAATAATTTGCAGATGGTACAACAATGAGTCGATTTAAAACGTCCCGAATCTGCTTTTACTACACCGGCAGGCTTAAGTACTCGTCCAGTAAAATGGCACTTTCGGGACATGTTAGGAAAACTACAATTTCCATTATCGATAAACGAGTTCGGGATGTGTTCATCTTTTACTGTAAGTGATAATAAATTAAGTGTACAGTGGTACGCATTTTATGATGTCGGAACCTTTAGACGAAAGAAAAGATAAATGGCGAGTGTAAGGGAAAACCTTTCTTTGACCGGGAAAACTACAATTCCCGAGAGAGCAAATTTCGTTTGAGTGCCAGAAATCTTGTTTGCGAACAAGGATATCGTTTTTCATCCTTTACACGAATTCCGAATTTACCCAGTGAAATAAATAGCGGTCGCGTGGAACATAATAATCGAATAGATCTTCCTCAACGAATGACACATTGAGGGAAATTATTCAAGCGCGTTTGAACGATTAGTTAAAATCATCTAAGGCATGTGTAGGCATATCCCATGAGGGTTGATTTATATGGGAGCTACACCAGAATAAGTAATTTGTATAATTTGCCAAACCCGTGGAAAGTATTTGGTCGACGTTCCGAAATTATAGTCAAAGTTTGAGCTAACTAAAGTCTGTTTCTCAATGGAGAGATTTCGGTCAGTACAACCAAAGTTAATAGCTGTCCATATGCGTAGGAAGCAAATTAAGATTGGGCAATATTCCAGGCCAACGTAGCCTTTCACTTATGTGGGTGCTATGAATCTATATGATCAACAACAATTCATTCATTCATAAAAGGAGTTGTATTAATGTTCTACTAGCAAATGAGGGAGAATGTGACGTCTATTAATCTGTAATAAATTGTGTATTATTTACTTTTTTCAATAGACGGGTGTTTCGCAATAAACTGTTTAAACTTTAAATTTACCATTTCTGAAAATAACCCACAATAAAGAATGACATCATCTATAGGATGGTCCGTTTATGTTGGGACAGGACCTCGTCTCACACTTGGTATATTACTTTAATTTTGAATTTTATACAAACTTCTAGACACATTTTGTGTATAATATCCTATACCTAAGTCTAACCTAAGTCTAAGATTTTTAATTTTTTACGCGGAAAATGATGTTTGCAAGACATAAGATATTCTTCAGTCGGAAGCATTTGTTGTTTCAGTTGAGTAAGTTTTGTTGTAGACAAAGGACTCGAATAACTGATTTCATAAGAAGTTTAAATACATGTTAATACAGTGTACGCGAAAAATAAGATTATAAATGAAATTCAGAAAACTGCGAAAAATATATATTTTTTAAATGGAGACTACCTATTTTTATAATCTTGTCATATTTAACTTTAAAAATGAAATTTTATATAACGTTGTATATGAATATGAAATATTTCCTTTTAAACATTTGTCTATGTCCTGGTACCACAAAGTTCAGTTACTGTAAGGTGGTTATGATGGCATTTAAACAAAAGAAGTGCTAGTAAGCTGCCTCCTTGGACGTGTGGTTTGTTGTTGATTACTGTCAATATTCAAAATTTTTTTGGACACATTACTGATTTATTTATTTATCGTTTATTAATTTCATTTATTCGCTTGCTTGCGTATCATGTTTACCATATAGATAAAATAGATTGATATGTTAGAAAGTTACATATCGAACAATAAAAACCGGACCCTGGCTCTTAGGGATTATATAAAAAGATCTTCGACAGGATTTACCAACACTTTAGAATGTATGGAATCTTGAAGAAAGAAAAAAAAGGGTCGTCATATTTTCAATGATGAATAGCAACTTAAAATTTTGTTGCATTTTGCAGAGACTCCTGAAGATTCAACCCGAAATCTTCAGGTGTTTAGATCTAGATGTCAAAAGAACGAAGCTTCGAATGTGCCTTCCAATAAACAACTGGAAGTCCTATAAATTCTGTCCAGTTCAGAAATTAGAGCATCAGATTAGATTTTTTTCAGAAAATATATTTGCTAATATTATTTGGATAGATGAGTCCATATTTACAACCTCAACTAAAATTGCCCATTACTGAAGCAACAAGAATAATAAAAAAAACATATGGAGGTTACAGGATCAGGTATAACTTCTGTCCAAATATGGTTTGCCATTTGGAGGTTCAGAACAATAGGTCCAGTATTTTTTGGTGAAAACTTAAATTCCCAACACTACTTAGAGATTTTAAATATTATCCATCCCTTTGTCGCAAATGAAGAGCCTGAATGGGAACGACGAAATTTAATTTTGCAGCTGGATGGCGCTCCTTATCACAGAAGTCAATAAATTTGCCCCTATTTAAATGCACATAGAGAGTGGATTGGGGAGAGTGGTAGTTACGCCTGGCCTCCAAGGAGCCCCGACTTAACTCCTTTGGATGTTTTTCTATGGGGTACACTTAAAGCTTTAGTTTAAACAAACCGTCAACTGTCGAGGAATTTAACCGTCGGATAAGAGAAGGTGTCGGATATTTAAGCGGGACTGAATCTGTTAGAAATTATGTATTTAGAAACCCTTTATACTACCAAAGTAGATACATATTGAACAACTGTTACAATAATTATTATCCTCGGTAAGGTATTATTTTTTTATTGATGGTTCGTTAATAAAATATTGACCAACGTTATCGTGTATTCTGGGTCTTATCCTCTATAGATAATACATACATATATATATATATATATATATATATATATATATATATATATATATATATATATATATATATATATATATATATATATATATATATATATATATATATATATATATATATTCTCACGTATTGATTCACGGATGGAAAAATGTGATGACACTATATTCCGGGATATCATCCGTTCGCTCGTTGAACTCCGACTGGAATCCTGCATCCGACTGGAATCCTGCAGACGTTTCGCCAAAATCTCACTTGGCATCTTCAATGCTCGCGCTCCGAAAACACTTCAAACACTGCTCGTTGAACTCTGGAACGACTGGAATCCTACATCCGACTGGAATCCTGCAGACGTTTCGCCAAAATCTCACTTGGCATCTTCAATGCTCGCGCTCCGAAAACACTTCAAACACTGCTCGTTGAACTCTGGAACGACTGGAATCCTACATCCGACTGGAATCCTGCAGACGTTTCGCCAAAATCTCACTTGGCATCTTCAATGCTCGCGCTCCGAAAACACTTCGAACACTTTCGTACGTGTCCGCACGAGTGACATGGACGCGCGGCCTCTGAAGATGCCAAGTGATATTTTGGCAAAACGTCAGGCGAATGATCCTACTCCAGGGTCAAACAACGAACGGATGAACACCCGGATTACCACCAATACACATAGTTTCATCCGTGAAGGACTAAAACAAAACATATATATATGTATATATATATATATATATATATATATATATATATATATATATATATATATATATATATATATATATATATATATATATATATATATATATATATATATATATATATATATATATATAATCTCATCACCACCCATCACAGATACAAGCAGTGGCAAATACATTAATTGCTCGGTCCTTCAGGCTCACAAACGAGAGGGACAGAGCTGAAGAACTGAAGAAAATTAATACGTCTTCGACAAAACGGTTACCAAGGGCGCATTATCAGCAAGGCAATCAGTAAACAACAACAGCCACAGCAGAGAGTGCAGGACGAGACCCAACAAAGATCGATCGCTGTCCTGCCATACATCAAGGGGGTTACTGACAAAATCGGCCGAATATTACGGAAACACGACATATCAACGGCATACAAACTTGATCATACCATCGGAGCAATACTAAGAAACCCAAAACAAAAAATGACTCTGGAAAACCAAGGAGTATACAGTGTAGCATGCGGATCGTGCAGCCTGACGTATGTGGGACAGACCAACAGAAGGATTTCAGCCAGGCTCGAGGAACATCGTTTAGCCATAAGAAACAAACAAACAACATCTGCTTTGTTTCAGCACCAACATCAGACAGGCCATAAAATTGATTTCGATACTTGCAAACAAATAGCTAATATTCCAGATTTTAGGACTAGGATTATACGAGAGGCCATCGAGATAGAAAAGTCCGGACACCTGAATACGAGAGACGACGCTCTGCATTTATCCAATACGTGGAGAACGATAATCAAACAGCAGAGCGATACGCAGCAGCCAACGGGAACATCGCAACTACAATCGGGCGAAATTAACCGACAATTCGGGGGGCGGAGCCACCTTCCCTCCCTTATTTATTTATTTATTTATTTTATACTTATTTATATATTATATATTGTTATTAGTTCTTTGTTATTTGTCACATTACTCTTGTCTTTGAGGTTTACAATGGATGACCCTGGGCCACAGTCAGTAAAGTCTGTTTATTGCAAAATTTACATTCCTATTCTGGTTACGAAAACCTTTGGGAATCCTAGAGCAAGCCGTCAGTCATGTCAAACTCTCTTAATCCAGGTTGTAGACCAGGAATATCTAGAGCAATTAGCTCGATGAGCAATGCTTTGGGTAGACTCTACATAAAGACAAAGATGTAAGATTCACCGCTAATATATAGGGCCATCAGACGCATGAAGTAGGATTATAAAACTCAAAAACAGCAGAGGATTTTTAAAAAAGAAGAGTCAGAGAAGGATTCTATTTAATGTTATTTAATCTGTATGCGGAAAGACCTTTTGTGGAGGCGGTCTATGAGTATCTGATGGGTTAAAGTATTCCGATAAATAATATACACTACGCAAGTGACATCGCCGACGATATGAAGACCCTACCAAACGCTGTCAATGAGGGAAGTCAACAGAGGTCTAAGGATTAATATCAGTAGAACGAAATTTATTGTTATTTCTCGAGATCTCTTGCCAAACGTATAATCTCACTTTAGACCAAGGTTCAGAATGATAAAGAGCTATTATGTTTAGTCGGTTCTCCTAGAAACGTGGACGCTTCAGACTATCAATCGCGTTGAAGCAACGAGGTTGTGCTTGGGATGGCCGGACTCGAGGATAACTTTTCGAAGATATTAAAAAATGAAAGTTAAGGTAGGAACCTAAGACACATTGTGCGTGGGGGTCATGATTTTCAGGGCTTAATACTGCAGGGTAGGGTCGAAAGAAGAAAGCGATGCATTGGAAGGAAGAAACTGTCTTCGTTCCGGAATATCCGCCAGTGGATAGGAATAGAATAATATGACGAGAGTACGACTACTCAGGAATCTGCATGGCGGCATGGAAGAAGAAGAATCATCTGAATATACTGATTAAAATGTTAACTTATTTTACTTATTTCGTTGCTGCTATAACGTTGGTATGTAGGCCTTTATAAAAATAATAAAATACAAAATATACTATCAGTTTCGAGTATATCCTATTGCACTTCCTATTTTACTGCTTTGTTAAAAAATATTCAAGGAAAAGTGTCTTGTACTTAAACTACTCAATAAGTGTATTACTAAATTTTTAAATGTTATAATAATTTTATCATTTTGCTTGATACCGGTAAATTCGACATTGAAATTTACCATGTAGCTCCAACCCGGTCTAGAAAACAATCTACAGTACCTACCTTTAATGAAGTCCACTGCCATTTCGAGGCCGTAAGTATCTTTGTCACAATCGTCCAGAATATGCGCACCGAGGGTTATGTTTGACAGCAACGGCTCCGGAGATGTATTCAACTGGTCCAAGGTGAACAGCATTGCTTCCAGAGCCTGGATACCACCCTGCGGCATTACAGGACCGCAGGTTATACTGTCTTCACGTTCGTGCACCATCATTAATCCGCCTATGATTAAATCGCCTTCCACAATAGCTTCTTTTTTTACGGGCCAGGGAATTTCCTGCGAAAGATAAACATAGCACTAACGTGGCGAATGCGAACCGATTAACGGTGCTTTCGGACTAAGTGAATCAAGCTGGGTCTATAGACGGAACCGAGGAAAACAAAACTTGCTTTATTGACTAAGGGGTGCTTCGTTGCCGCGTTGCAGGACGGGATTCGCAAAATTATAAAATCATTTTTTATCAGCGTTTATTTGTTTTACTTATTCTGTTCTGTTCAATTAATCTAAATTAACATAGTAGAAATAATGGTATGTTGTTGGTATAAAAAAACATTTCCGGCAACTGGTTAAATAATAATGAAAGATGGTTTGAATGTGATTATTATTTGTCAAGGACGTCGAAAGGTTTTAAGCATAGCATGCGATACGTTTGCAATTCATTATCAGCAAAAACGCAGTTAAGAAAATTATACAAAAACCCAAAAAATTTGAAACAAGCAAAATTCAAAAACTTAGTGCCCTTGAACTTCAAGACATTTTTCGCATAGGAAAAGCAACTGTCTATGGCTTGTTTTTCTTATTGAATTGTGATTTAAATTTTCTTTGCTTGAAATTGCAGTGTTATACACCAGATTTTCTATTGTATAAAAAATAAAAAAATCAAGCAGCACAAGATCAGGGAATCGAGGAGGCCAAAGAAAAGCATTACTGTTAGCTATAAACTGGTCGTTTAAGACTGCAGAAAACCATCGATTAAGTCCATTATGAAGTCGAGTCACCCTGTTGATAGAATTGGTTTCTGCGATTGGCTAATGGCGAATTATCTCAACAGACCTTTACATAACTTTCTTCTAAAATTGGTAATTCAGATTTTCTTGAAAATAATGTTGGGCCAGCGAAATTAACATTAGATTTTTTAAAAATTCTCTTAATACATGGTTAAGTAAACTGACACAATGCAACTTTTGGAAATTTACTTTGATACACCAATACACTCGATTCCAATACCGTTTGTCTTACCGATATTGTTGGATATATAACAAAATATTCCAAAATGACTATTTCAATATTTTTATTATAAACAACAAATTTATTTCGCTACATCTTCGTTTTAAACAGATGTTTTATTTACGATATCTAGCATCTCAAAGTTATTTCAATGGAGGCTAAACCTATGAGTTTATGAAAACTAACGCTTTACTCCGATTTACCAGAAAATACATACGTACATAAAAAAATACATGTAGACATTGCATCGTATCTATAGGGCTTGAAGAACAAAAACGCAAATTAATTACAGAATCATAATGACGCCGACGTGGGTGCTGCAATTCTGCACTGCTTTTCCAGACATTAACTCCTTTTGACATATTTTGAGAAAATACCGCCGTAAAATTGCCGAATCCAGACATCGACGACCTGTCAGCGGCCATGTTGTTTGTTGAAAGCCGCAAGGTCCTATGGGTCAACGTCAGAATTTGTCATTAGAGCTGCTGCCATTGGTTAAAAACGAAAATTTAAATCCCGCACATGCGCACGTTGAACGAACCTTCTCAAAAAATTTTTACATAGTTGCTTCATGAGTTTCTGTACTGTCAGCATAGGCAGCGCCACAACATGAAATTAAGGGTATGTATGAGAAGTTATCAATAAACAAAAATCTTGTTGAAAAAATGTAAGTTTTCTAGTTAACTTCTTTTTCTATGGTTCTTAATTTCTGAGTTAGGAAACTTTATTTCGGGCACCTTGTACAGTAGGAGAGTATAATTAATAGCCCCTTGATTTTTACTAAGGATGTCAAGGCAGCAACGTATCATGCGCCATTGTCTGCATTTTCTTGTTTCTCCTGAAAAAATGAAAACAAATTTTTCTTTTGGTGTAGCGGCAAGGGGATGGTAACTAAGTTACCAAAATTCTAGTGTCTGTTCGTGAAGCGAATAAACTGCCGCCGTGAAACGACGTCACGTACGCATCGTAAGTAAAGATACCGGAGCGAAAAGGAAATCCGGGGGCAATCACAGACCTTTCGTTCTAAATCTCTCGATACAGTTAAACTGTGACGCATTTACTAACTTTTGTTTTTTGCTTAACCCGTTAGCTCCCTAAGAAAAATTGGCTTCAAATTTTACTTTACTTAACTGTTCAATTTATATGATAAAAAATGTAAAAAATATCAAACTCGAACAATGGCGAGTATTTTTTACAGACCAAAAAACACGCAAGTCCACTTACTGGCACTTAAGGCAGCAAGTTTAGTGCAATTATTTTATTCTAAAACTAAACTTTGACATAAAGCTACTACTCTTTGATTCTAATTATTGAAAACAGAAGCTATATTAAATTAAGTTCATCAGTTGATTAGTCCTGATTAGGCGATTCGGGAATGGCAAAACTTTCACCAAGAACTTCCATTTTATTAGTGGCGGTCAGTTATTTCTGTATTCGTTTGTTAATTCCCTAGGGGATCCTTTTTCGATTTCTTTTATTTGATTTAGATTTTCACTATAAACCATGCCTTGACTATAATGAAATTTTTCTTCTTTTTTAATATTTTCTTTGTTATTGTCATTGTTATTTAGTTGTTCTCGATCTGTGAATATTTTAGTGACAGATTCCTAAAGTAAATAGCATTAGTCCTACTAATATTTATTTGTCACCTTTCAATCAATTTACATACATACATACATACAACATATTTACATTACTGTCTACAGCTTAATGGGAATGAAGGTAATAATAGTATTTTTTTACTCCTAGTTGTTTTTCTCACTTCCATAGAGCTGCGCATTTTTGAACTGCATGGTTTAACACTAGCCGATTCATTTAAAAGTGCTAGTTTTATTTCATCTGACTGCAAGATCAAGTTCTGACATGACTCAAATTCACATCTACCTAGTTCTGGCAAAACCTTTCGTTTTCATGACAGTGGGTCAAGTTACTTATTTTTGCGATTGTAAAATATACACGAATGTCATAACTTTTGATGTCAACTTGAGTCAATTTATCTATTTTTACTATTGCAAATGATCGCATGCAGCACCACCACATTAGATCTTAATTTGCTATAAATGAATAACTCATTCATGCTAAAAACCATACTCATTTTTTCGATTGCAAGTTTCTATTCCAAAAACAAAAGGTAAGTAACAAACTTGTTTTTCCTTTGGAACAAATGAATTTTATAAATTTACCAGCTATACTAAATAATTTTTATTATGGATAGCAAAAGTCCTGTCTGGCATTCAACTTTTAATTGTCAGTAAAAAAGGCAAAAGACATACTAAGTAAGGTTAGAAATATGAACCAGTTAAAATTAGTAACTAATAGATCTTTTCATGAACAATGATTACATATAGAAGTTATTTCGTAAATCAACTTTTTTCAATTGTACCGGTGACCTTGTTTCACAGTAAAGATAGAAGAAATGTTTAATTCAAAAGTGTTATAATTTATTTATTTATTATTAGCCACGTTACATCATTTTACGAGGAAAAGAATCAGAAAGAACAAAACTGCAATCAATCGATCGGCATGCAATCTTCGCGTTTCTGGAAGATACAATGTGCAGACAATGTGATGTGTAACAAAAAAATAACAGCAACGTAAGGGGGAGGGAGTAGTAATGTTGTTGAAGCAATTTAGTCATTAAATAATCTCCAGTAACCCATTTTTCAGCATATCTTTCTAAAATTGCTTATTTAAAGAATGTACTTTTTCTCCAAGATTGCTAACTTATTTTCCACGACTATAACATACGTAGAAGGAATAAAATAGACTATTTGATGAAAGTAGTTTTCGAAAACATCAAGCTTGATGATAGTTTTCAGTAAAGACCATTTCATTTTTGAGGTGGGCAATTATTAATTTTTTTAATTTTCCCGAGGGTGCTTTTATTCCAGAAAACCATTCTTACCTGTTTAACATTTAACCAACTTTCGCCTAGATAGTATATATATTATATAACTATGGTTAAAATAATGTTTTTTTCAAAAAACATATTTAAAATCCACAAATTTGGCCTCCTAGCGGTCAATTTCGGAATAATAAGAGTAATTTCGAGCAGTTTCTCGTGCCCAATATACTTAATACAAATATTTTTCAAATTTGTGGGATCATTCCTGTCCATAACACCTTTGTCTCTACATAGACACTCTGTATATATGTAATAAAAATATATCACGACTCACAAAATGAAAAGAAATGGATAAACATGGCTCCCCGAACGCGCCATCACGGCAGGAACAGACATTAATCAAAAAGTTGAGTATTTATCTTCCACTTTGCTCGGCAGACTTATATTAATCAAGACGGATAAGTTTGTCTGTTATTTCAAATCTTTTTTCGTAATGGCCATTTTTTTTTGCGGAGCTTCCATCGAGTCACTGATTGTTTTGCGGCCAGATCGTGTGTTCTTGTCTGCGAGACAAATCTGGAAAAAAAATGAGGCACGGCGTTGTGAAACAAATGTTTTAATTTAATATTTCGTCGACATGTGTTCCACGTTTTCGCATATCTTATAATTTATCCATTAACTTTTCCTGCCGACGGTTATTAATTTTAACTAGTTTATAGATCTGAGAACAAAATGTATTGAGGCAATTTTGAATTACTAGAAATTTTCTACAAATAATTCATTTACAGAGTGCCTAAAAACAAATTCAAAAAACTTAAGGAAGTGATTCCTTATTTGAAATAAAGTTCAATTTCTTATATACACGTTATACGTTGGGTTGGGCGAAAAATAATGTATTAATATTTTAATGAATGTAAGGGAATGAATTGCCCCTTTACCTCATTACCCCTTTTTTCCGATATAAAAAAATACCATCTATTTCACAGATGTTCATTAGATCATGGTGAATTTCTATGTACTGGCTCTCAATAAACCTTACAATTCTACAAAAAATGTAAATCCAAAGTTGGGTCATTTGAGCTTAAAAATATTAAATATCTAATAACATAAGGAAATAACAGTTAAAGATAAATAACAAAAATAAATTACTAAATGTTTAATACATTTACTGCCAGTTGGTTAAATATGTATTTGTTCAAATTAA